CCAAGAAAACAATGGGAGACAGAGCTTTCCAGGTAGCTACACCTTTCCTATGGAATAAGCTGCCAAGGTCCGCGCGCAAAGCAACGAACTTAGAATCTTTTAAGACTTTAATTAAGACATTTTTATTCAAGAAATCGTTTCAGTTATCTTAGTATATCTATATCTATATATATTTGTAATTATCTTTTACTCATTTAAATGTAAATATTTTTAAGATTTATGATAGAAAGATTTTTAAAATTTAGTTATTAATTACTATTGTGATGCGCTTTTGAATATTTTATAGAAAATGCGCAATACAAATAATAAATATTAATATTATTATTATGAAGATGTTAATGGTTTTCTGAATCCCTCAATAATAACTGGTGAAAATTATCGTTCAGATCTTCTTTTCCTAATACAGTCCAAGTGCCTATATGTTCTAGAATTAACAGTTGGTTTCGAGTCTAACCTTAACAACAATGCAGTGCGTAAAAGAGAAAAATATCTAAACTTGATCAACGAAATGAGTAGAAATTACAGATGCGTGAGATTTGTAAATCTCTCCATGAGCTCCCTTGGCGTTTTCTCCGATGAATGCTCCACTTTCTTAGACATGATGAATGACATTGGCATTGACAAAAAGCATTAACTTTATATAATCAAGAAAATGATAAATATAGCCATTAGAGCAACATATTACAACATTTGTTGTAGAAATAGGAATTGGGATAGCCCACACTTATTGCAATTTTGATTTCTTTCCTTCTTTTTTTTTTTTTTTTGCTTTTGCTTTTGTTTTGTTTTGTTTGTTTGTTTGTTTGTTTTTTTTAATCATCCAATCTCAAGCAGCATTGTAAATTGCCTATACGAAGCGACATTTACAATTGTACAGTAAAAAACATCTTATCAGAAGCCTGGCGTTGTACTGGAAGCAGCCGAAAGAGAATTAACGACTGCGACTCCACAACGAGCGATGAAATCTTAGATGGAATCTTTCCTCATAGTTCACAGAACCTTTCTTTTGAGTTATTTTAGAGGCTACTGGCTCGAGGATATTATTTTATGCTCAAAGTTTGTGGACATACAATTGAGGTGGCTATCGAGTTGGCGGCGGCTGCTTTTGTAAACTATTCCAACAGCATGCCGAAACATGGCCATGAGTTTCGTGACTAAACTCAACTTTTGGCGAAGCAAAAGTTATATAATTTGGCTAGATTCCTTTTTGTGTTATCTTCATTTGCTGCATGAATAAACACGACTATTTGCTCGACCAACTTGTTCTAAACGGACTTAGAGAGGCACCACTTAGATCCTTTAAATGCCGTGTCTATAAACTGTTTGTATTCGAGCATATTTGTGCGGATTTTTTGAAAATAACAGAGTTTACTTTACCTCGTTATCTACGGACTGTTTAGAATGGAGTATAGTGTACCTATGATACTTGGTTCTTTTTTTTCTCGACGTCGCAATGATTCGCCACAATGGAACAATGTTCAACGATCAAATATATGTGTTTCCCGAAGATCAAAACAAACACATCCTAAAAGCGTCGCTTTTGTTCCGTCAGCATATAAGTTTTAAAATAAGTAGGGACAGACAAGTCTAATTGTTAATAATTTCAAACAGTCTTGGTCTTTATCTTGTACGGTCTTGAGTCTTTTGCAGATCTTTTACACAATAAAACTTTGATTTATTATGTAGACTACGACAGTATGTTATAATTTTCTCAACACTTTTATTCCTGACGACGGAATTCAAGGGAACCTGATCTAGCATAACCAGATAAGAAACGTGCCGTAAATTCGATCAAAATATCGCTTATTCAAACCCAATTCACTTGTTGACGTCGCTGTAATTGTATAAGTTTCGGCGCTTTATACGTGACAGAGAAATTCGCGCCTTGAAAACAATAGAATTTTGACAGATGTAAGTAATTTGCATAACCTCAGCACGCATGCTCTCCTGATGACATGGCCCCTTTAAACGAAATAAGAACCAAGACGTAGTACTTTAACATACTTAGGGCTAATTATTTAAACAAGTTTAGCCAGTGTTAAACAAAACCCCGTTTTAAGCTATTTTCAGTTTGGCGAACGTTTCTATGTAAACACCTTTTATGGTGAACAGTTTCATGAAAGCGTATGGCGTAGACAAGAACTGAATGTCTTAAAATACCCCATTAAGGAAGAGTTCTGAAGGTCCAAAGATTTCCTAAACCGCAGCCTAAGTTAGACCTGCTTTAAATAACCGACCGTCAGTATTTAAGTGTAATAAACAAGGGCACTAATTACCTCCAATGCTTTGATTCGTCGGCAACACAGTAGGACTATAACAGCTTCCACTGGTGATTGCGACATCATCGATAGCGATATCTCCCCTATAAGACGACCCCGCAATACCCTCAAACGTTACCTATAAATAGAGTACAAAGCATTGGGAATTATTCAAGCACTCAAAAAGATAATAAGGCTAGTTTGCTGCAAGTGGAAACCGAATTTCAAGTTAAGAAAAAACAAACAAAAACAAAAACAAAAAACAAAAAAGAGCAGTGATTATTCAAGAGGGGTAATCGACAAAAGAAGAGGATTCACTTGGCGAATTTAGAACACATCTCTGTCATGGCGCATAAGCACATATCGGCTTTTAGTCCTAGCATTATGCAGGATAGCTCCCACCAGTCTTTTGTACATAAGTGGTGAAGCATCTCTACTAGAAACCACAGGGTCATTGCATGGTTCGACTACTATTAGGAGTACACGAATATTGTTCCCCAAGCGGTTTGTGTCACCGACTGAAAAAATCATCTTTCTCATTATTTCGATTTCTGTGCGAAGAAACCAAAGAGGATCTTTCAAAAAGGGATAAAAGGAAGAGGGATAGGCAAGTTCATTTATGATAGATCCTTTTATGTACTTAGGCTTTTCAACCGATCTCTGAAGATATGTATATGTATATGTATATGTACAGATTTTAGCCGTCTGAAAATTAACCAAGACTAACCGTCGCGTTTTCTTGAGAACCGAACTTCAGAAACTTACACTGTGTCGCAAATAAATTGTTTTCCTTGCTTGTATCCAATAGTTTCCTTGGTTCCCAGATACACTGAAAACCAACTGATTTCCGCTGTAAACATTAAGAGTCCCTATGGCATCGCCATACATGTGATAAAAGAAAACCAGACAAGCTGCTGCGCCATTTCTAGGAACTGAAACTTGAAGTTTTGCGTTGTCCCCTTGTCGCCTAGGAGTAACCTCTATATACATGTAGTATCCTAGAAGAGCATGATAATAATAATGATAATGATATTGTTTGTTTTCACATAGCGTCACTAAAATTCAAACTAAAAAAACTATCGATCCTACCTAGATTTTACTTTCACGATGCATTAGAGCAGCTGAAAACTAATTTTCATTCTAATTTTCGCTTTAAAAGGGTTCTTGGTTTTGTGATAGAGTACCCTTGAAGTTCTAAGCTTTTGCGTGACGCGGCATTTACATGACGGCCAAGAGAGCTGTCATGTAGGTTAAAAAAATGACTTATTTCAGGAAATTTTGCTATCTAAACAGTTCATGTTTTAGAAAAAGTATTACTTTAATGTTTAAGAGTTTTTCGAAGAATAAATTCACGCTTTTGTAGCAAAACTCGGTAACAGATGTTTCTGTTGGTTTCCGTCCGCCATGTTGGAGCTTATCCAGGTGAGCATCAGCATGGCGTCTCCATACAAATCTCTATAACTTTGGGTAAAACATTTCTTCGGATATCTCGTCTACGAAATATTCCTCTGACCTGAGTCTTGGCGAGGGTCTTAGTATAGTCTATGTACCTCCTTTCATTTCCCAGATTCTGGACTTTATCTATTGAACGGTTTTGATTTTTATTCTGATCTATTTTGAATGGCGTGACACTAAAAACTAGCAATTGGTAATAATGAAACTATAGTAATGTAAAACCTCTATTAAGCACTTCCCTCTGTAAACACAACACCAAGACAAGACATCCTTTTGACATTAAGCACTTAGTCACCTTGTAATTTCCTTGCTACCAACACCGCGTTTACAGTTAAATAAGCCTCCCCACCTTTTCCAATATGGGCGAGGATTGACTATCGGTATTTGAGAAGACAAATCTTTGGAAGAAATGAGTACGGAGTTTTTCAAGGACTCGGCACATAAATGCAATATAAATATTGTAATTCTCAGTGTTATTACTCCATACATAAATCATAAATAAGCAACCTAGGCATGAAAATACTGCCAGTGATACTTTCAGGTTAATCAGTTGCCATTTGTTTCCACTACCTGGAATATTCTCTATAAGAGAGCAAAATCAACGTGAATCAAAAACCATAAAAAAAAGAAACAAACAAAAATGACGATTGGCAAATAGCTTAAACTAACGCTTATAAGCCCTGGGCTAATCCATCTTTGTAATGACTTTTAGGGAGGCTCATAAATGGAAGTGGCTAATTATTACCAGAATAGAAAACAAATCCTTCGGAACAAGCTATAACAGTGCTGATCATAATAAGTTTTGCATTTACTTTTCTATTAAGCTTCAATCAAATCAGAGTCATTTAAATGCATTAATAGGTGGATTACATCCGCATTGGAGGGAGGAGAGGGGCGTGGGGTATAATGGGACTATAACTGGGGGTGGGGTGGGGCCTATAGCTAGGGAACTTATAAGCGGAAATTTACGGTATTGTCTAATCCATCACGACATTTTGTTTTACATCTCCATAATCTGTTACATTAGAAGACAGAGCCCCCCTTATGAAATTATTTACATTGTAATTGTATGTACCATTTCCAGTAGTGTGATCTGATGAAGGCCCCGTATTGAAAGATGAGGTGCTTCCTCTTCCGCGTGTCCACTCAAATTTGTCTGAGCGAGACTGACTCCATCCATAACACAATCCATAGTCAAAGTTGCAAGATGCTTGGCCAGAAGGCGACCATGTGTTTCGTGGCACGAACGTTGTTGGTGCTGTTGGTATAGAGAAGTTGCTTGTTTTGTTAATTAATCACGACCTCGAGGTTTAGGCGGAAGCTGGCTATACCATACGCTAACAAAAATACAGACACACTCAATCATAAGAAAACTAGATCTTTTTCCTCGACTCTATTACTAATGTATCTTCCACGATATTGATTATGTGCTTCCAATTAACATTTACCTAATCAGTTTTCTAATGCTCTGAAACCTTACCGTTTCCTTACTGAGCGAAATGCAAATAATATGACTCTTACTTACCTCTAGAGCATATCACCGATGCATCTTCACCGTGATAACAGTTATGGATACCCCATCCTCTGTGCAAACATTTGTCTAAAGAACTTTCACTTCCCGAGCATGCAACATCATCCAACCAAATTTTACCACTTCCGGCGCCGAATCGGGAAGACCCTGGGGCACCAATAGCGCCAGGATATCCAAGCTGGCGACAAACAACACGCGCGTCATTTAAACCCCAGCCATCGTCACAGACGGTTCCCCAGAAGTTATTATGATACACTTCTACTCTTCCTTCCCAGCTTCCAGATCCTCCAACCAGTCTCAAACCTGAAGTCCAAGAAAATAAGGGTAAGTGAAATTTTGTCCGTTATTTTCCCTTGCAGATGCTGTCTACAGCTTTTCTGTAGTGGCGAAGGGTACAAGATCTTAAACCAGTTTAAAATATGTTTTATAAAAATAATCAACCCTATTTGGTGAACATTCAAGGGAAGTTGATTTGAAAACTAAAAGCGTATTGGGTCAAATTAGGTGGACTAATTCGATCTTGGTAATGAAGTGTCTGTGTATCATATATGTAAGGCTGTTTCATTTTATTTTTTAACCCTCTCTTTCTCAAGCCATTTATTTCAGGGTACATGTATTTACAGCCGAACCAGGTCAATTGCACCTCCCTAAATTATAGCGGGGCTCCCGCGCGCGCGCGCGAAGCGCGCGTGAGACAGAGCCCCATACTCATGGAATATGGTCAACCTCTTTTCGTTTGGTTGTCACGTGATTGACCGAGCGTACGTACGTACGCGTCTACAGATTGTACGGGTGGGGTAGGGGAGACTATCAAAAGGAAGGGAGGGGTGTCTCAGGCGTGTCTTGGCAAGTCCACATCTTTAATATAGGACATTCACAATATGGTCAATTGACAGCTGTCAAAACAGGATAGCCACTGACTGGTATCCCATGACCATATCGCGGGCTCATGTGTCAACTCATCGAGGTGACGTGATTTATTTGGAAGCTGCCCGCTGACCAGTTAATTGTTTTACCAGATCGCGAACAACGTTGAATCTCATACTTTTACTAGTTTGGGAGCACAGGAAAAC